CCCCCTTTGTTTGTGCAGCTCATTTAAAAATGTAATGTATAATTTAAAATATAGGTTAATAGAGAGTCATCCATAATAATCAAGCTTGTAATCATGTTAGTTAGGTTTTCTAGATATATAGAGATATAATTTAGTTAGATAGATAATCTTCAAATCTTTCAAAAACCTATGGAATATGGCATTTGAAATGTTTTAATAATTTAGGACTTTTCATGGCAGTGAGACACATCTGCTCCTGGCAGTACCAATCTACTTCAAGAGAAAGATGGACATTGAAGAGGCTCCTTACGGAGTTAGTTAGCCATTTGGGCAAGAAACTGCTCTTGCCTGGACTGCTTGATGTTATGCTGTGTAAACTGGACATGCAGGACCCACAGAAAAATGACTGCTGAACTAAAGGTGAGATGGTCTTTTGGGGTTCCTGCTTCATGAAAGAGTCTGCCAGACATTCTGCAGGACACAGAAGAAAGTGACTGACAAACTGCCAATATAGATGGAACTGTCTTTGAAATTTCCTGCTTCATGGAAAACTCTGCCAGATACTATGGACCAGTAGGCTGAAGATGAGTGCCTGCAATGTTACAGAGGAACTTTGGGTGACCAGGCAGCCAGATGTCTTTATCAATTCTAGAGTTTTGGAAGTTGCTTACAATGCACTTCCTGTTTGCTTAGGTAATATTATATCCTTCTGGAGTCTTTGATGAAGTTAAAGAAGAGAAAGTTATAGTTTTCCTTAGTTATGATAAAAGATAAAATATATAGAAATATTCTAACTATAATTCTTACTTGATAACTGCTTTGTTATATGTAATTTTACTTTGTTAAAATTAAAACCTTCCTTTTCATTTAGACAGAAAAGGGAGGTGATATGGGATTCCCCTCTGTATGCTGTGATTACCATTGATTAATAAAGAAACTGCTTTGAGCCTATAGCAGTACAGAACAGATCTAAGCAGGGAGGGGGTGTTGGGGGGGACTAAACTGAATGCTGGGAGAAAGAAGGTGGAGTCAGGAGATGCTGTGGAATCACCAGAAAAGAAATACACAAGTTGCTAGCTGGAACCTTGCCGGTAGGTCATGGGCCTCATTGTAAAATATAAAATAATAGAAATGGGTTAATTTAAGAGATAAGAGAGCTAGAAATATGCATAAGCTATAGGCCAAGCAGCATTGTAATCAATACAGTTTCTGTGTGATTATTTAGGTTCTGGGTGGCCAGGAACCAACAAGCGGCCTCCTCCAACACTTTTTTCTGCTTTTCTTACTAGTTGCACCTTGACTTTTAAACTTCTTGTCTAGGAGCTGGAGAGATGGCTCAGAGGTTAAGAGCATTGCCTGCTCTTCCAAAGGTTCTGAGTTCAATTCCCAGCAACCACATGGTGGCTCACAACCATCTGTAATGGGGTCTGGTGCCCTCTTCTGGTCTGCAGGCGTATACACAGATAGACTATTGTATACATAATAAATAAATAAATATTTTAAAAAAAGAAAAAAATAAACTTCTTGTCTAGATTTTTTTCAACAGCAGATCCAAAAGATTTCTATCCAGACTTTTAACCAGTTACTATTACAGAATTACCAGCCCCTAGACACAGAACTAGAGACCTGCTGCAGTGGGTTACATTCTAACGATGAAGATCAAGGTTGTTCTAAGAACCTCGATGACCTGATTCAGCAGGAAGTAGTCTAGTGATATAATCGCCCCCTTTCTCATGACCCAACTGTTATCAATAATAAATAAAGAAGGGGGAAATGTAAGACCCTCGAGCCACACAAGTGGCCAGGCCCCTCCCCTGAGATCTCTAACTGCCAGGTTCCACCCAAAGATACTCTAATTGATGGACCCTGCCCACACCCTACAGAGCAAAAAGCCTAGTTTCTGGACATGAAATCCCACCAATCTCTACCCTGGAAAATTCCACCCACTTCCCAAGAAACTCTGTATAAGCTGTGTATCCTGTTCCGTTTGCTGCTGTTTCTTGCTTGAGCGGAGGCAGTCACCCTCCTGATTTTTTCCCTCCCAATAAATCTCTTGTGTGAAGTTTGTTGTGAGGTGTGCCTTGTGGTATTTCTTGGCTCCCAGCGGAGCTGGAATGCTTACAGTGGGAAGAAGGCATCAAGTGGCTGTTATCTCAATACCATCTTGGGTTCAGTGGTGTATAATCTGGGTCTTGCTGGGAGAGGAGACAGAAAATCTCTAAATGGCACTGAAGTTTCTAGGGTGTGTGGCTGAATATTCCCTTACACTGTGTGAAGATGTGACATGGTGAATGGTTTAGTAACGAGATGAATGGCCATTAGCTAGGCAGAACTTCTGGGGACAGAGAGATCAGGGAAGAGGGAGTCCTCAGACACTGAAGAAGCAGGGCCTGTAGTGCAGAGTAAAGGTAATGGAGCCACATAAAAGAGCACAGATTGAAGGTATGGGTTAATTTAAGTTATGAGAGCTAATGGGACAAGCTTTCATAATAATAAGTCCCTGTCATTTCTTTTTCTTCTTTTCTTTCTTTTCTTTTCTTTTTAAATCTATCTGCCTCTGCCTTCTAGTGCTCAAATTAAAGGTGTGAACTACCATGCCCAGCTATGTGGGAAAGTTTTTTTTTTAAAAGATTTATTTATTTATTATGTATACAGTGTTTTGTCTGCATGTATGCCCACATGCCAGAAGAGGGCACCAGATCTCATTACAGATGGTTGTGAGCCACTATGTGGTTGCTGGGAATTGAACTCAGGACCCCTAGAAGAGCAGTCAGTGCTCTCAACCTCTGAGCCATTTCTCCAGCCCATGGGAAAGTTTTAAGACAGACCAAATCCTTCTTGTTAAAGGGAGGAGGTGATTCTGAAAAGGTGGAGTCAGGCTTAGGGTTGTGTTTATCCTGGTACTCAGTGATGGACTTTATATTGTCTCAGTACATATTGACATAATGTACCGAGAGATGAGCCTTTGGCTCTAACTGCAGAGAAACCTAGTGTAAAAGACCTACTGAATGAATTCCATGACAGGCAATGCTGCACAGAGAAACTCTGTTTTGAAAAAACAAAACAAAAACCAAAAACAGAAGAGTTGGACAAATGGCTTAGTAGTTAAGAACACTGCCAGCTCTTCCAGAGGCCCAGGTTCAATTCCTAGCACCCACATGGCAGCTTCCAACTATCTGTAAGTGTAGTCTCAGGGTGTCCAATGATTTCTTCTGGCTGCCTCTAGAACCAAGCACACAGACATACATGCAGACAAAATACCCATTCATATACAATGAATAAATAATTTAAAAAGCAAAACAGATTTAACTGCCATTTTGTTGTTGTTGTTTTGTTTTGAGACAGGGTTTCTCTGTACCTTTGGGGCCTGTCCTGGAACTAGCTCTGTAGACCAGGCTGGCCTTGAACTCAGAGATCTGTCTGCCTCTGCCTCCTGAGTGCTGGGATTAAAGGCTGCACCTTGACCACCATATTTAATCACTACACCAGAAGCTGGTGAAGGATTTTGTAATGAGTAAACCTCCAGCCTTCCTTCTATATATAACTCATTACAGTAAAATTTTTTTTAATTAACTGTGAATCCAGTGTATTCAGCTGGGAATGCATGCTCTTTCTAATTAAAGACGATATTCTCTCTCTCTCTCTCTCTCTCTCTCTCTCTCTCTCTCTCTCTCTCTCCCTCTCTCTCTTTCTCTCTCTCTCCCTTTTTTCCAAAACAGGGTTTCTTTCTTTATGTAGCCCTGGCTGTCCTGGAACTTACTCTGTAGACCAGGCTGGCCTGGAACTCACAGAGATCCACCTGCCTCTGCCTGTATTGTGCTGGGATAAAGGCTCATACCACTGCATCCGGCTTTAGGAGTGACTTTTAATTTTGTCCCTAGGTTCCCTATGTCAATGTACTGAGCCCTTGGGTAATAAGAGTTTTGTTCTGAGGCTAGAATAATCCAACTCAGCATAGCTACTGTCCTGGAACATGTGCACATGGAGATTAAACCCGAGGCCTTGGTGGGAACACGGATTGTTCAGTGGTAGAATGCATGCTCACCACTTCCAGAACTCTAGATTCAGCTCAGCTCAAGAACCTCAAAAAGTTATCAAATTAGTAAAAGTGAAGTTTATACTGTGTAGCAATTTGTAATGAATTTTTCTACATCCATATAATTTCAAAAATAGATTGGTGGGGGGGATTCAGGAGTTGGTGAGATGGCCCAGCAGGTAAAGGAGCTGCTGCCAAGCTTCCCAGCCTGAGTTTGAGCCCTGGAGACTACACTCCAGGGAGAAACGCGGGAGTACAGAAGCGACTCCTGAAAGCTGTCCTCCGACCTCCGCATGTGTGCCAAGGCACGTGTAGAAGCACACAAGATTTTTAAGATTTATTTATTTATTGTGTATATAGTATTCTACCCGCATGTAGGCCTATGTGCCAGATGAGGGCACCAGATCTCGTTACAGATGGTTGTGAGCCACCATGTGGTTGCTGGGAATTGAACTCAGGATCTCTGAAGAGCAGCCAGTGCTCTTAACCTCTGAGCCATCTCTTCAGCCCCCCCAAATTTAAAAAAGTTTAAAAAAATTTCAGAACAGGCACCAAAGCTACAGAGAAACCCTGTCTTGAAAAAAAAAAAACCAAAAAAAAAAAAGTTTAAAAAAATAAAAAAAATGTAACAAATACATTTTGAAGTTGGGTATGGTGACATGTGTACTCAGAAGGTTGAGGCAGGAGGACTATCACAAATTCAAAGCTCTGGTGAACTATGTGGAAAGTAGCACTCGGAAGGCTGAAGCAGGAATATCTCTGGATTTCAAGTTCTCCGGGTCTACATAAGGAGTTTTAGGCCACAAGGGCTATACAGTAAGACCCTGTCTCAAACAAACACAAACTGAAAGTATATACATTACTTTAAAAAAAAGTCATATACTTGATCTTAGTCAGAAGACTGAGACGTGATGAAAAATAAGTATATGTATAAACAGAATTAAACAGGATCATGAAAACTGAAAATACAATGCTTCTAATTTCCCTTTAATATTATTAGTGGATAAACAATTACACAAATGTGAGGGGAGTCATTGGTATAAATTATTAATAACTAACAAAAACACTCACTTGTGTAGACTGCAGCTTGGGCCGTCTGTCTCGTCCAGCTCATGCTGATCCTTAATCCTCAGTTTCCCCAGACACAGTTGAACTCTGAGCAGGCTCCTCCTTAGTAACAAAACAGAAGGTAGGAGAAGGGCACAGCTCCAGTCTCAACTCCTACCTTACAGAAGCTTATTCTCAAAATATGTGTGTCAGCCACCCATAGTTACAGAACACTTCTGAGAATGTGTTACTTGCAAACTCCAGCCAGCAGCCTGAACCTGGCCTGCCACTTGCCGTGGAAGGCCTATGAGCTATGGACAGTTGACATTTTCAAACTTTATTTTATGTGTATGAGTTTTTTGCCTGCACGTGTGTTTGCGTGTGTATGTGTGTGTGTGCGCGCGCGCACGCTTGTGCAAGCGTGTGTGCATGCCTGTTGCTGTCAGAGGTCAGTAGTAGATTTTGGATCCCCTGGAAATGGAGTTACAGATGGTTGTGAGCTGCCATGTGAGCGCTGGGACTAAAACTGTGACCTCTGGAGTAGCCAGTACCCTGTAACTACTGAACCGTCTTTCTCTCTTTCCCTTCTTTGTTGGTTTTTACTTTTATTTTATTTTCTTTTAGAGACAGGGTCTCAGTATATAATCTGGGTTGACCTGGAATTTTCTGTGTAGCTCAGGCTGCCTCTCTGCCTTCAGAATGCTGGATTAGAATTGTAGAACACCATGAAGGGCCTTAAATAGCCCCATTTTAACTGACTATATGTAAGTACCTATGTGATGTATGAGATTTTACCCCCACAAGCCCATTAAGTTTAAATTATTTACACCTGAATAACTGCTACTCCTTCCTAGACTCCAGGGAGCATAGTGACCAGTTAGTTGGGGACTAAACAAGCTCTCAGACCCGAGGCCGATTGCCTGGGCCTCGGCTCTGACTTGGCTGTGTCCTGGTGCCAGGTGGCTGCAGGCCCCACACCCCTCCTGGGAGTGGGTTGGACTCTCCAGATGTGGCTGGAATGTTCCAGAGCTGTTTCTAGTCGGTGGGACTCCCATCAAAGAGCTTCTGAATCTTGGGTGGTACCTTGACGTCGGGGGCAACCCCACCGCTCACGAAGGCAGAAATGCCAAACCAGGGCAGCACAACTCAACAGAGCCAAAGCTGTGCCCACGCCCACGGCTGCGTGGGCCAGGGTGAAAGGTCTAGGCGGCATGATAAGCTTTCGACAAGGCCCAAAAGAAGGCTCAGCCCAGTTCTCAGGACCCTCAACATCTGCTCCAGGAACTTGGCTCTCACCAGCGTCATTAGCAGCCACCACACAAAGAACATAAGAACCACCAGGTTTGAGTCCCTTCAGCTCTGCTCTTCGAACCGTCGCATTGAGGGGGCCACTCTTGTGTGGAGCGCCGTTGCCTTCCCAAAGCAGAAGCCAATAGTGATTGACTGGAGAGAAGGGGGCACACCAGTGGACAACAGCGCAGCCTTCCTCTACCAAGATCTGCACTTCTCCCAGCCGTGGAGGGTCTGGTTGCTGATCCTCCCTGGTGAGCCCCGGGCACAGACAGGCTACTGGCCCAACCTTCTGCAGCTCCTTGCAGGACACCTGCAGGTGGCGGCAACGGTCATAGTCGCAAGGGACAGCTACAGAAAGTGTGGTTACCGCCTCATCATCCTCTTCCTCGTAGTCTTGGGGGGTCAAGATCTGAGCTTTAGAAACCAAGGAGGTGGTCATGGCCACAAGCCACAGAAGGGAAGGAGAGCCCACCATGGAGTCTGGAAGGGAAGGAGTGAGAGGGTAAATACTGTTAGCCCTGCCTTCCAGGACAAGACCTCTGGGAAAAGCACAACACAGAACCGAACCAAGATGGGCAAAGGAAAGAGGTGGGACTGAGACATGCAGTTATTTGTCAATTGGCTTCTGAATGCAGGTTTTTTGGGGGCGGGGGGTGAGAGCCTGGTTTGAGGCTGTTCTTTAACTCCCGGTCCTCCTGTCTACACCTCCAAATCACTAGGATTAATAGTATGTGTCGCTAGGCCTGATCGTGCTTGGTTTGGGATAAAAATAATAAAATACAGTCCCACACATGAGAGACAGATGTTTGGGCAGCACCAGGCAAAGTGCTAGAAGCAAGCAGCTAGCGGATAAACAAAAGTGCTGGGGAAAGAGGAGGAGGAAAGGGATTTATTCGGCTCAGGGAAGAAAGGTGGAAGGAATCCACTCAGCAAACTGGCCTATGTACAACAGCACTCAGTAAGATGCACAAAAATCCAGAAAAACTCAGGAGAGAAGAAAGAGCAGAGGTGGGGACAGGCATGGGAGTCCCAACTCTCTACCTGCATTTGTGCAAATGTTGTCCAAGCAATCCAGGCTCCCCCCTGTCCACCCTCTTCCCAGGACCCGCAGCAGCCTCTCACCAGTGGGTAGGCCTTGACACAGTGAGAATCTGCCTCCAGACATCTGTGGATATCAGGCGAAGAGGTTCCTGTCACAGGCCACTGTCAGGTTGTATCTTCAATTCTATTTTGGCTGAGAACTTTTATACCCCTCAACTCTGATGTCACCACCTTGCCCCTGAGTGCCAAGAAGAGGGCTGGTTCCCTCAGAGGGACTGAGTCACGGGGCTAAGGATAGGGGACGCCACAGGCAGCGGTTTCAGTTGGAGGCCAGGACGCCTGGGTTCTGACAGGAACGAAATGTGGACAGCAGCCAGGAGCGGAGACTCCAAAGGCTGCAGTCATGTGAAGGGGTGGGGAGAGGAGAATTACCAGGGGAGGGAGGGCACCTGGCTGGTGTCAGATAGGAAAACATCTGTGGATGGTACGGGGCCTGAATTACAAAATGCTGTTTCTGTGAAAAGTCCTACCACACTCATGGCAGTCATTTCCTGTCTTCTGCCTCCCAATGGACAGGGAAGGGAGGGGTGTGAAGGCCAGAATGATGTATCCCAGCTCTCCAGACCCGCCCTATCCTATCCCCCTCCCCTGAGATGAGAATCACATGGCTAGAGCAGGAAGCCTACCACTGGCCAGGATAGGGTTTCTCCCCTTGATTACGGATGGAAACAGCTGCATTGAGTGTGGAGGTGCATGTCTGAATTTCTCAGCCCAAGGGACGCTGAGGCAGAATCATTAAAAGACAGTCCGCACTACATAGTGAGACCGACGTCATGAAACATCTGGATCCGTGCTACAAGCTTGTAATTCAGTACTTGGGATGCTACGGCAGGAGAGTTGCTAAAAGTTTGAGGCCAGCCTCTAAGAATCTGTTTCAAAATATATAAAAAAGGAAAGAAAACAGTCTGGGTGGTGGTGGTGCATGCCTTTAATCCGAGCACTCGGGAGGCAGAGACAGGCTCTTTGAGTTCGAGACCAGCCTGGTCTACAGAGCTAGTTCCGGGACAGCCAAGGTTACACAGAGAAACCTTGTTTTGAAAAGCAAAACATAACAAAAAATCAAACAGACAAAAAGACAGAGAGAAAGAGAACAAAGTAATTGTCTAGGTCATCCTTGAACGTCTGGGCTCAAACATTTCTGTCTCAGTTGAATTGCTGGGATATAAATGTTGATCAATTCCTTAGTACAAAGAAAATTTTTGCATATAATTGGGGACATTAGATCATAGACTAAATAAATCTCCTTGGAGTGTGTAATGCCCTTGTACTACTATCCTTTTAAAGAAAGCGATACAGAGGCTAAAGAGATGGCTCAGTGGTTAAGAGTACTGGCTGCTCTTCCAGCAAGAACTAGGTTCAGTTCCTAGCACCTACATGATGGCTGTGCTGGCTGATCTTATGACAATTTGATACACAAGCTAGAGCTGTCTGAAAGGAGGGAACCTCAATTGAGAAAATGCATCTATAAGATCCAACTATAAGGGATTTTCTTAGTGATTGCTGGGAGAGGGCCCAGTCCATTGGGATCATCACCAGGCTGGTAATCCTGGGTTCTAGAAGAAATCAGACTGAACAAGCTATGTGGAGGCCTGTAAATAACTCCTTTCCTGGCATCAGCTCCTGCCCCATTTGAGTTCCTATCCTAACTTCCTTTGATCAATAGCAATATGGAAGTATAAGCTAAATAAACCTCCCCAACTTGCTTTTTGGTCATGGTGTTTCATCACAGCAATAGCAATCCTAACTAAGATAGTGGCTCACAGCCATGAAACTCCAGCTCCAGGGGGATTCAGTGTCCTCTTCCAGCCTCCATGGGAACCTGAAATCACATGTACATACCCATGCACAGAATTAAAAATACTTAAAAAGGCGCTGATGGCGCACACCTTTAATCCCAGCACTTAGGAGGCAGAGGTAGGTGGATCTCTGTGAGTTTGAGGCCAGCCTGACAGAGTGAGTTCCAGGACAGCCAAGACTACAAAGAGAGATCCTGTCTTAAAGAACCAAAAGAAAGTAATAAAAAATGGATGCCCAGGGCTGGGATGACAGCTCAGTGGTTAAGAGAGCATCCTGCTCTTGTAGAAGACCTGGGTTTGGTTTCCAGAATCAAATATGGTAGTTCACAACTGCCTGTAACTCCAGTAACTCCAGGTACAGGAAATCTGACATCTTCTCTGACTCATGGGCTCCTGCACGCATGTGGTGCACATATAGTTATGTAGATTCATTCACATACATATACACAAAGCAAAATCTTCGATGATGCAAGTTTGATTCCCAGGACCCATGTGGTGGAAGGAAAGAACTGACCCCTGGAATATGTCCTCTGGCCTTCACACAAGCACCTGGCACAAAATAGTTTATTAAGGGGATGACAAAGGGAGAAGGGTCAGATGGGGAAGTGCTGGAATGTGAGGAGTCTTTTTGTTCAGGAACTGGAGCATGTTGGACGCTGCCTGATGGTGCCCACAGAAGGTTCACGGCTACCCAGAGTTTCAGGGGAAAGGGCAGAGGTGGAGGTAGAGGCAGAGGTAGGCAGGTTGGCCTCTGTCAGCAAAGCTGCATCTTCCCAGGAGCCTGAACCTGAGCCAGGAAAAGGTCAAACAAAATTGCAAATGAGACAGACAGGTTAGCAGGGATGGAGGGATGTCCCCACCACACTTCACTCCATCAGAAGAGACAGGTTAGCAAGGATAGAGGGGCGTCCCCACCACACTTCACTCCATTATACAGTGTCCCTCACCATCACTAGCCTCTGGCTCTTGCTCCTCCTCTCCATTCAGGGGCTGTCGTCGTGGTTTCTCTTCCTCAGATAGCTGGCCCTCTTCAGCCAAAAGGGGAACAGAGGTGTGACAGAAGTGAGACCCAGGCACTGAAGGGGAGTGCTGTGGAGGAGCGAGGAAGAGGGACAGCATCATACCTGTTCCTGCGGCATCTTCAGGGCTTTCGACATCCTCTGTCATGTCTGACTGCTGGGTAGACTCTTCCCGGCCTTCAGGTCCGGCAAACAGAGGACAGCTAGACTCAGTGGTTATGCTTGGTTTGCAGTGCCAACTCCACCTCCTTCAGCCTTTCCTTACACCCTCAGTTTCACAGTAGCTGCTCTGTACTGAAGGCAGGCATTCCCTCTACCCCAGCCAAAATACCTCTCAACGATCCTGTCAACCAACCCCTTTACCTGGCTGATGGCGAGAAATCCGACGCTGGGCACCCTGTCGTGAGCTATCCCTTTGTCGGATATTAACCTGTGGAGGAGTAACCACCGAGCAGTGAAGCCTGGCTCCCCTCGCAGTAATCATGCCCCATCCCTAACATGCCCCTGATCACCAACAAGGACCACCGAGGAAGAACAGGGTCTTCGCCCCTTGAGACCTGCAAAGAGAAGCGGTGTCGGGGCCAGACGCCCCCCCACACCCACTGCATGTAGCTGAAGAGCGCGATGATGCTGAGGAACGTGAAGTTGCTGGCGACACCCACAAAGGCGCAGGTCACAGGGAAGTTGTACAGCAGGTACCTAGGTGGGAAACAGGGTCAGAAAGGGAGCGGCAGTTACCAGATAGCTCGAGTGGCTAGCACTCCACAAATACTTGTAGGACAACTTGAGTGAATGTGGCTGGAGCTGCCCTCTGCCACTATGGCACCCACTCCCCTGTCCAGTTACCAGAAGACACCCCACCAGGTTCTAATAAAGGCCAAGGACTTCAGGCAGCCTCAGTATCACAGGGCCACAGCATTATACACTCCAGCTCTTGCTGAGCCGATGGAGTGGGTATTTGTTATTAGGGTGGGGTGGGTGGAGATGTGGCTCTCACTATGTTGCCTGAGTAGCAGGGACTAGACACAGAACACTACACCTGGCTCATAGGATCGAGCCTCTTATTTTCTTTTCATTATTTATGTTGAGAGTCTTGCTTTGTAGCCCAAGATTTCTTGCCTTAGGCCTCCTAGTGCTGAAATGGCAGGGAGTGTCATCTCATATGGGATTTTAAAAATGGGGCTGGAGGGTTGGCTCAGTGGTTAAGAGGACTTGTTGTTCTTGGAAAGGACCCAGGTTCAATTCCTAGTACCCACATGTGGGTTCCCACCTCCTTAGGCACCAGACACATGTGTGGTACACATACATGCATGCAAGCAAAACACTATTACATACAAAAAAATAAAACAAATTAAATTTTTTTTTCTTTCTTTTCAAAACCAGATTTCTCTGTGTAGCCCTGGTCATTCCAACTCACTTTGTAGACCAGGCTGGCCTTGAACTCACAGAGATCAGCCTGCTTCTGCCTTCCAAGTTCTGGGATTAATGTATATTGAGCTTTTGCTGACTATCTGCATGCACCACATGGATGCCTGGTGTCTCCAGAGACCAGAAGAATACATGAGATACCCTGGAATTGGAGTTACAGGTGGTTGTGAACTATTATTACCTTGTGAGTGCTGGGTATGAACACAGCTCTTTAGAGCAGCCAGTGCTCTTAACCCCTGAGCTATCTCTCCAGTCCCTCACATAGGATTACATTTCTTTTCTTTTCTTTTTTTTGGGGGGGAGCAAAGATAGGGTTTCTCTATCCTCACATGGGATTTCTAAGAAGCTCTTTTGAAAGACTAGTCGAACTAGGGAGAAGAGCCTCTGGCCTTGGTAAAATATGATGTTATGTTGTTACTAGTCACCTCTACCTGAAACCCTCTTCATTTTGGGGCAGGTCATGGGAAAGCTGCCAAGGTTTCCCTCTGTGGCCTCTTACCTGAGCCCAGTGAAGTGGGCATGGATGCGGAGGTATGCTCCATACATCTGGATGCGCTTGCTGTGAATCTCAATAACTGCTCCAGTTGTGGGCGCATACTGCGAGGGCAGGGAGAGCAGAGTCAGCTGGGCTCAGTCTGAGGTCCGCTTCCAGCCTCTGTGGCCATGGCAGGTGGCTGCCAATGAGCTTCTCGGGCACACTCTTGGGCCAGCAGGAGGGTTGTCTCCTACTCCATCGCTCCACTTACCGAATTCTCCCTGTAGTCCGAGTAGAGTTCTACCTCCAGGAGCTGCTTCTGCTCAGCAAAGCCAAACAGCAGGAGGCTGGAGAACACCAGTGTGTCAAGTATCTGGAGCAGTTGGGAGCGGTAATGCAGCATCACCTGACAGGGCCATAGGGGAAGGCTGGGGACAGGTGTTCTCTCCAGTCTGCCCCATGCTTGAGCAGTCCATGTACACAAAGAAGCTCATTCTGTTCCTTCACCTTCCCTGCCTAACCCCCAGTTCCCACCTAACCATCCATTTGTTTCAGTAATGTCTCCCTGGTACCCGACCTCATTTCTCCATTCTAATGAGGCAAAGTTCCCTTCTCTAAAACACCTGCCTCAGGTAAGCAGTCTGCTCTCATGTACCTTTCTCTACATAGTCTGTTATCTGGCTTGGGATCCGTGTCCCAACGCACCACCTGAAGCTGTCCTCAAATGCAGATAATCATCGTGTGGTTTAAATGGGGTCCAGTGCTGAATGTGTCTGCTACGTGCTAACAAGAACCCGGCATTTCTTGCTGGTCTGGTTAGGAGGAAGTTACTATAAAGCTGGTATATTTCTGGAGTCTTCTTGTTCTAAGAGCAGCTGTACTCTTAGACTACTCCGAAGCTGGGCATGCCCATCAGACACTAGGTATTCGGGCAAATGTTTGGCTTGTTAATCGGATTTTTCACTTGTCCTGGTTGAGGCCCGATCTCAGAGCCAAGGAGGTCTTCTCTTGAAGTATCAGCCATACATACTGATTTGTCCACCATTGTCCCCAGTTTCCCAGACTGTCTTTAAACACTTACTGAGCGTGAAGAAGT